AAGTCAGACTTCATTAAATCTGTCTCCCATGAAATAACTTTTTTTTAATTTTTTGATTTATTCTAAGGAAACGGCTGGTTTCTGGACAAAGTTGTAATCAAGGATCCTATAACAGATTTGGATTATACTTTCCTTTGTCACAGGTTGGTGGTGTTTCATTTGAGTTAGATTTTTAATAAATTTGTAATTACCCATGATTTCTCTTCAGAAATGTCCTGTCAAGGGAAATATGTGTTTCCTAAAAAATGAGATTAAATGGGTCCAATTCTTTTTACAGCAGAGTTGTATCTGTCCCAAACCTCCAGTGCATTTGAGCTAATGAAAAAGCAATAAAAAATTCTGCCTGGGAAATTTCCATCCTTGCACTTGTGAACTATTCGAGATGTGCTTTTTGACACATTCCATGTATCCAACACCTTGGATCTGACACCAGCAGATCTATCTAGTCTTCAATGTCACTTGATGCGAGGCTTTTCAGAAGACTGGGTTGCTGTTTCTCTAGCAGACTGATCCCACTTCACTGGTTAGTGTGGAGATTCATTTGGGGTTCAAAGAGCTCAGGATCAGACTTTAAGATCTTGTGTAATGGCTATTGCAAGCACAGCTACCTGAGCACATCTCTTTTTCTCACTTGCCTTGCAGCCAGTCACTGAGCTGCAATGTAATATGAAGCAATCCTAACTTCCCTGCCTTTTCCCCTGCAGATGCTGCTGCTGTGAATCTTCTGTTCTGTAGCTCATTTCCGGTTTTATCTACTCCTGATTAATTCTCAACACCTTATGGAAAAATTATAATTGATAAAGATCAGTGCAAATATTAGGAATCTTAAAGTCCAGTCACGTTTGATCTAGCTGCAGCTCACCATTGGCACCCCAATTCTATTTCCTCCTCTCACTTCTCTGAGTGAATAAATAACTGCCTGAGACAGCTCAGAGTGAGCGATGTGCACACTGAAACTGATTTATGCGTGAGTAAGGGCTTTCTGCCTATCAGATACAGCACCTCATCTTTGCCTGACCTAATTTTGATTCTGTATTCTAGATGAGATGAACTGCTATGAAGAGATCTATAATGCTAGCTTCATACATAATTTAGGGAGAGTTCAAATCCATTTCGGGCAGAAAAATACAGGGTATACACTAGATATTGTTAAAGCTTGCTGATCTTGCTCTCACAGTGTGTGAATCCTTTTGACCCAAATGGAGTCAGACTTAACTTACGTAAGTGTATGTGAAAAAAGTACAATGACATTGTAAAAGTATAGTTCAGACATGGTAAAAGTGTTGCCAATGTTAGATTTGTCACCCTGTATAGGGCTTTCCAGGGCATGGGACAATTTGCATCCTGCTGTAGCCTTCTTGCAGACAGGAAGAGCAATCATCATGACCATTGCATCTTTTATTATTGATCTGGGATCAATATGAGTTCTCTGATTTGTAATAATTGTTTTAGGCCCTAATACCTCAATCCAGGAAGTTTTGTCAAGAACAAATAAAAACAAAAACATTTTTGCCAAAAGCTGTATTTCTGTTCGTCAACCTTGAGACTTTGATAGAACAGGAAGTATCATTATGTAAGTGCCATATGTACAGCATTCTGGGAATAGCCAACGAAGGTTATATTACTGAAATGGATTCTAATTTTTAGGTGGCTGGACCAGGGGCAGGATGATGGCAATATTGCTAGAGAACTGTTTGTGGCAGATGCCAACGCATTTCCAGGAAGTAAGTGAAAATTGTTGGGAAGGAGGACCCAGACTCATTGCAATTGTGTCAAATGGAATGAGGATGGTCTGTAAATTAATTACATGTTTTTTATCTCTACAGGTCAAGAGCTAGAACTTAAGACAGAAGAAACTGTAAGAATAAACCTTTTTATTATTTATTTAAACCATTCAAATTATGCTTTGCATGAAATCAGGTCAGTCGTTCCCATGTATGTCAAATTCCTGTGTATTATCTTCTTCTAAGTCTTTTCTGTTTGTTTACAAAACTAGTGGGCTGCCGAAAAGTGGAAATTTCAGAAAGGCAATACACTTCAGTTTTACAACAGGCTTACCCGTGGCTTCATTTGCCTCAGTCCGGATAGCAGCGTTGATGCTCTTGGTGACAAGAAAAACAAATATGGTAAAGTATTTTTCATGTGGATGTGCACATAAAAGATACAGGAAAGGAGGACTTTGTAGTTCACTGAGATCTCTTGCAGTGATTCCTGTAATAAATAAGACTAGATAATTATACTAAGCATTTTCTTTACTTAAAATATTTACATGTATTAATAGCTATAAGAACTCAGAAATTATGTGCTTGGTTTGCATATAAAGCACACCAAAAAATCACGTATGTTATCTGAATCACTGGCTTTCCCTTACCAAGTAGAAACATTTTGTCATCTGCAGTTTTGTGCTCCCATGGAACTGCTATGGCAAGGACAGCTTACAGTCCTTTGTAACTAAACCCATCTAAGCAAACAAGTTCAAATTTTCAGGTATAGTTCATTAATAGATAGTATATATAGATATATATATGTCGTGTATATGTATATGCATAAATTCATTTAGTTCCATCCTTGTCATTGCTTTTAATGGCATTCTTCCAGTTCTTCCTCTTTATCAGCTTCCATCCTACTGTGTTACAAACACTTAACTATGATATATATCATATTAGGCACACATTTTTGTTATCTTTGCAGAGATTGAGCAGCTCAGCCTTTCCAACACCTTCCCAGGGACCTTACACACATCTTTTTGGAAGTGATAGAACAGAACTTTTTGGGACACACCAGAGTGTGTGGAGAGCAGTATAATAAATACTCCTTATAGTAGCCTATAGAAGCACCTGGAAAAGCTGCACCAGAAAGTTCAAATGTATAATATGGGAGATCTGTAATATTGAAAGTGGGTGTTGTTCTGTTTTACTAAACTCTTCTTACTAGATAGCAGTTTTGGTGCTTGAGTTCAAAACATTCGATGACTCAAATACTGAGTAACCCAAATCTCCTATCTATGGCTTTAGGATCTGCAAGTGTCTCAAATGCCTGAAAGCAGTTGCACAGCATGGTAGTATCCTTCCTCCAAGGAGATCCATTTAGGATCACAGCTGTGAATTACTTGGTGACAGAAAAAGCTACCTGCTTGTAGGAATTTGGTCTTTTAACTGTACTGATGCAGTAAGCACATTTTCTAGCTCTTAAATGCTGTTACTTCAACTGATGGATTGTATCTGATTTGATTTAGGCAAATTTGATCATTTAGATATCAGAGAGATCATAATCTTCTAACATACAGAATTCAAGTTCACACTGCAGAATTTTTAATGATTTTCATCTAGATGCACTGTCCTTTCCATAAATTAATGCATTTCAAATGGTATTTTTCAGACATAAATATGACATTTTTATTGCATTCTGTACCTTTTTGGTACATTTTTACATGTTAGATGTGAAATTAATGAGTGTTATCTCCACAATTTTAAATTAATAATATTTATTATTGTGCAAGTGTAAAATCTGATGCACAACTAATAAATATCAGTAGTTAAAGATGATAAATATAATTAAATATATTAGAAAGTCCAAAACAAAATTGGCATAAACAGACTGTTGATAAATATAGATTGGAAGCCAGAAAAATGAATAATGTGATCTGCAATGTCCCAAGGATTTAGTAATAATTAGGAATTAAACTGGTAATCAAAAAGAGCTTGGTATTTCTGAACAAGCTACCCTGATATCAGAGGATCAGAGTTGGAGATACAGGCATAACCATGCATTCTTTTTTACAGTTCAGAGAAAAAGCCAAACACAAGTACAAAATGAATGCAGACACTTATCATGCAACTCTTCTGCCTTCAGAACAATATCTTTCTTCCTTAACTTCTTTCAGATTTGTTTTAGTTATTTGTGGAGCAATTTACAAAGCCTCTAGAACAGTCACGTGCAACAGAAGTCCACAAGCACTGACTTGGGAATGTTGTTTAAATTTTCATTTAGGAGCTCTGCTTTCTTGTGTATGCTCTGGAATAAAATCCTCTGACATAAATTATCCACCTATCTCTCCTAATATAAAACTCTACATTTCAGATACTGGTAGAACTGTTTAATTGTCTTCAGTAAATCTAAAGCAATATAACTCAAAGGCCTTCAAAGTGGTGATGACATTATATCAGATGATAATTTGGTCTAGGGTGTTTTAATTTCTCAGGAAGCTTTATCTCTCCCTCTGAAAGCAGAGACCCATTGTGACAGCTGTGTCCTCCCTATCTTGTCCGAGGGACTGGAAGCCCCATCTGTATTTTATGATTTGTGGCATCATCCCGATGGGCACAATAATCTTTGGCTGAATGATTCTTATGTTCCCAATGACACTCTGAAAATCTTACATTATGGACTTCTTCAGAGGCAGCTGCATCTTACAAATAGGCAACATAATGTACTGGTAGAACAGCTTAAAAATATGAGGCGTTGCTGCTGGGAGCAATAAAAATGGTGCTACTTTAGTTTTCATCAGAATTTTGTAGCTATAAGAGGTAATTGTTTGGAAAATTGGCCAGATTTAAAATTTTAGAAGCCATGAGCTATGCTGAGAGATTTGCTTTACAAATTCTGCTATGGATATAGAGGAAATGAATTCTCTTTTCCTACCTGAGAGCTTTATGTTCCCTACATCATCTGTTATTTATCATGTAAATTCATTGCTATAGCCCAGTTCATTATGCTGGAGTCCTCAGCTCCATTTTATGGATTTTTTTTAAACATATACACCAATAAAAAAAATTTGTGTCTTATCATTAGCTCTCAGGGTTTTTCTCCTCAAGGCAGTGAAACAGACAGTAGATGTCCTTTCCTGAAGGAATGAGAGGATTCTTTGATCTATTGAGTTAAACCATTCATTCTTTTCCCTTGAAAATGGTAAATCATCAATTGTAATTATAAAAATAAATATGAATTAAAATACTTTCATACTTCTATAATATTTTTCATTTAACTTTTAGGCCTTTTTGATGTAAATGTCAGAAGGAGAAATACATGTATATTCAGCAGTCATCAGATGCCACGTCTTGCACTTGCTCTTGTCAATAGCCATGTAATCGGAAAGGTAGGAAATGTTGTTACTGATTTCTGCTTCATAATTACATGTCATTGCCTGATTAAAAATAATGCTCTTTGTAATCTACCTAATAAGTAATTGTGCTTCCAGTCAGATAAAATGTTAAGAATTGCAGAACTGAACCCAGGAAATTGCCAGTCAACAGGTGAATTTAGATACAGGGCTTTGTTTTCTTCCAGTTTACTTTTTACTCTTTGGTAAGATTTTTTAATAGACTAAATGATTTGATGCAGGAATAGCAGGCCATTCCAAGCTGTAATTTATATCGGCTTGCCACATGCTGACAAGGTACCTAGAATGCCCTATTATCTCTCCTCTATTTTTCTCTTTTTTTTTGTTTTAATAAGTGTAAATTCTAAAGATTGATTTTAAATGTCCTTTTTTCCTTTGTGTCTTTTTCTAAGTAACCTGCCTGTCATAAGCCAACTAATATATTCCACGTTTGTTTAAACCCACTTTGATTTGTTTCCCCCCATCTTCAAAGTCTTACTACTGCCTTTCTTTCTCAGCACTTGCAGTACACAAGTAGGCAAATGGAGTTGTAGAAGTTAGTTCTTTATAAAACTCTTCTCCTGGTGAGCAAAGAAGCTGTATCCCTTTCATATTTTCATGTTCTTCTTCCCTTTATTTATCCAATTAATAATTTCATACCCAAAGCTGGTCCCACTCCTCTTTTACATGATGTGCATTAGCATTGGTGGGAATAGAATATTCTCAGTAGAGTTAGGTTTTTCAGTGGGGCTAGTGTCAGGCTGCCATGCAAACTGTGAGACCTCCTTGCAGGACTTTCTGATGTTCATTAGTGTAATTCTGATACAGGGAATCCCTTGCAATCTGTCTCATTGCAATATATCTTGCTACAGAGAGGTTATTTACTGGGTACTTAAATTTGAACTTTCTCTTTTCTGCTTTGCTACTGACATGCTTTATGATTTTGAGCAACCTGAGGAAAATCTGGACCTCAATTCTGTTATATTTAGTTGTGTAAGATATTTCTTTACCCAGGGAATGTAAAAAATGGCGTTTAAAACTTTCTGCGGTCCTTGGAATGAAGATAGGTAAATGTAAAACAAAAAGGTAATACAAAAGTTGCAATTTACAGTACCTATTTAATTATACTCTGAGGACATACTGGCTCACTTGTTTCACAACCGCTTCAGAAATCCATACATTTTTCCTTTACTTTTAAAGGTATATTGAATCTGATAGGGTTTTTTTGAGTATGAAGCTTTTTCTTCAGAAAGTGCCTTGGAAATGAAAATTTTCCCTAGAAATATTGATTCTCTGAAGTCCTAAACATGCTGGAAAAATGTTAGATGATGTAAGCTAGAAGTCTTTTAAATTATTGGGCTGATTATTAGCATTTTACATCCATTTGAAACCTAGTTTTATTTAAAAATGAGAATGATGATGGAGTTGATAAAATATTTGAATAAGTGGTTTGTATACTGTGTCTTTTATATAATGGGGTTACATAGAATTAAAACCTGAACTGGCAAACATGGATAGCACGTTTCTTTACTCTTTCACGTAAAACTTCTAACTCCCTGAGTGTTTAACAGTATAAACATATGAGGACAAACACAGAGCAAAAGGAGGAGGGCTGGTGGCAGAGAGTTCCTGTGGTTCATTTCCTGTCTATGTCAGTCTTACACTTCTGCTACTCTAAATCCTTCTCCAATTGAGGCACCCTGTTATCTTTCATGTTATTTTCAGATCTGTGTGACTTTCAGATGAACTGTTTCTGGGCTCTGAAGTTCCAGGAAGTCTACAATTTTAGGACTTAAGTATGAGGACTGCAAATCTGAAAAATATAAAGATGTTTTCATATTTGACTGGTAGTTTTGTGGAAGCTCAAAGAATGCAGAACCTATTGTGTAATACTCTTTGTTTTGGATTTTGCCATATACTTCATATAACTTATTATTCCTATTTTGACTATGCTAGAGCAAAGACAAGGCATGCTGTGAGCTCTGTGTTCACCTTCAACCAAATGGTTGTGTCATTCTTGAATCGGCCAGGAACCCAGGTCACACCATCACTTTCAATCTTCATGGCAAAGTAGCTGATGAAACAACAGGATATGCTGGACTTTCCAAAGAATTTGTTGTACATGTCAAGGTAAGGTGGGAAGAGAGAAATTAAAAAGATCCTTCTAAAATTTACTGTAATAAAGCAGATTTCGAATCAAATGTAGGGGGAATGCAAGCTAAAAGAGTGATCCACCAGGTGGAGCTAAACTACAGTTTAACAGGTAGGCGACACTTCCCAAGTTTCGCTTTACCGCTCTCCTGGGGCGAGAGGTTCCAATACTGCAGCTGGTATACCTACTGGGGTGGGCTATAACACAGACAAGAAGCATGTCTCGCCTTTGTAGTAAAGCTTCGAAAAGTAGGAAGGGAGGCACATACAGGAGAGCTGCATGGGAAATTAGTCAAAAAGAGAGAAAGTAAAAAAGAGATAAGCTCCTTAACTTGCTGTACTCCTTGTGGTCTGGATGCTGTGCTGATCAACAAAAAGCAGGGAAGCTGTGAAGCAGGGAAGGCTTGCCACTATTTATGTTAGTTTCTGCACAGAAAGCAGCAAATATTCAAAGACTGGAGGTATACTTGAATTACTTGGGACTCACTATTTTACGTTTTATGCATGAATAATTTCTTGAAATAAATCAGTGTGAACACCATCAATATCAAAGTTTAATATGGAGAAAAACCGTGCTATTCACAAAGGACTTCTTGTCTCTGATCTTAAGGGTGTGTTTCACCATGGTGCCATCATTCTTCTCAACACAAGCCTCCGCCAGGCTCTGTCTCTGAGGCCTGATGGTAGCTGCAGTGGAGCAGGTCTGCAGCATTCAGAATCCTACTGGAAGGTGCATAAAATTGGCTCTGGACTCTGCATGTTTGAAAGTGTGAGAAACCCAAGGATGTATCTGAAGATCAAAGATGACCAGTGTAATGGAACAGTAAGCATTTCTTTGTATTTCCCTATGGAGACAGATTGAGTAAATCGTCAGTGATAGGAGAGAATCTATTTTTACTTGCTTAGATAAAAATTGGATAAAACATTGTTCAGATTTAAAAAAATTCATATCTTTTCCTTCATTTGCCCAGAGAAAGATAGAAAGATATGGCAAGACATGCTGTCATGTCTATTTGTCACTTGACTGTAAAGATCTGATTATATGTTTAAATTACTCAGAATGTGGATGTAGTTAAAATTCATGTGTTGCTAGAGAGCTGATGACTCTGTCAAGACTCTATCGTGTTAATTTGATTTTTATTAAACAACCACAGTTAGACTGGTGTGACTTTGGAAATTGTTGCAGCAATGTTGGTGTCCCAGCTTTTACAAATGATGGTTTTGTCTGAAATGAAGAACCTGTTTTGTTTTGTTTTGTTTTTTTAAATCATCAGGCAAGCACATAGAGTACAGTAGCCTGTACTTTTACTAATAACTAAACTCAGATTGGGGGATGATTGAAATATTCGGATTTTGGGACCCATAATATTCTTTATCTGGCAGGAGTTTAACTATTGCAGATTTACATCTGAGAGCAAAAAGGAGAATGAGACACCAGTATTTGCTCATTAAACTCAATGTTTACTAATCCTGTGACTGCTGATATGAACTGATATAATTGTTTTGAATATGTGAGAACACAAACATGTTCAGGAGCTTAAAGCGGTATTGAATCTAAATAAATTGATGATAAATGCCACTAAAGGGTCATTAAGAAGTAAGCAAGTGCATATTGCACTGACTTGCAATGTGAGTCCGTTCATCCAAGTTAAAATATCTCACATTCTCACATAATTTTTACTTGGGAGTTTCACCCATATGAGTATGAAATAGAACTGTGTAAGAACTCAAGTGTCAGGTCCATAAGACCTTTGTCATTGACTCCAATACAGTTTGATCAGAGATTAAGATATTGGAACCATATTTTGAATATAGGCTTGCTTTTTCAGCAATGCCTTCACCAATGGATTAGGAGGCCTGGATAAAAAGGAGTATTTAGTGTACAGCTTGTATGTTTCTCTCTAGCAGTTAGTGTATTTTAAGTGTAATATACAAGAGTGAGCGCTCTTCTCTTTGAGACATGTTACACTGGGATTTTTATAGTATCTATCTGGTAGTGGCCAGAAGGATATTCTGAAAACATGGGAATATTTGATGTCTCAGCCCGTGTTACCATGACTGCTACATTTGTGTGTGGTCCAGTGTGCTTTAAAATTGACAGACATACTAATTTATTGCTATTAAAGGACATGGTGTAGACGTCCATTGAGGCTTTGATTGTGTAAAAGCTTTGAAATTAATATCGTAAGCGCTATGAAATGGAGAAAAAAATGATAAGAATTGCAGTTCATGAAAAGAACAACATATTTAATAGATGTTACACTGTGTAGCATTAGCAAATTGTACTATGTACCAATTTGTATATAAGTATAGTCTGTTTTCCAAAATAGGTACTTTCATATTCTCTAACCCTCTGAAAGTTTTTTAAATGGGGAAGTCCTTTGAATATGTCCTAGACTTTGCTTAAATTCTAACATAAACCAAAATGCTTTCATATGTGGTCTTTCACTTACTTAAATTATGTGATTAGACTTTCTGGTCACAAAGGAACAAAAAAGGAATAAGGTGCAGGTATGCCTCTGTGTGTGTGTGTGTTTGTAATAATGCAGCATTATGAAGAATCTAAAATTAAGCTCAAATGTTATTAGAAGGTAGTAATATTTAACTCTTAGAAACATCCAACTTGCCTAGCTACATCAGTTCAGTTGTTGAATCCATGGTTTTGTTTTCAATTTCTTAGGGCACAGGTGATGAATACTGTCACTTTAGAATTGAGAAGAATTTGGAAACTGGATCTGTAAGTCTAGAATCGGTGCAACATAAAGGGATATATGTTGGTCTCCTGCCAGATGGCCAGACTAAGCCAGTCATTTACACTGGAGAGAGGAACATTTTTTTCTACCCGCAGGTCATCAAATGTATGTAATTTCTTAATATTTTACAGTTTGCTTTAGTGATTAGTGTTTTTAAATCAAAAAAAATTCAAAGCAAAAGTGCAAAAGCTACATTTACACCATTGTCCTTGTTCTCTTTCAGTAATTTTAAAGGTGAAAAACTTATTGTACGCACAATTAATTTCTCCCGCATATTTAGTTAATTTTTCTACATTTCTTTCTTTTTAGAACAATAAATGATGCAGAAGAAATAATTTTTTTTTTTGCTAGTTATTCATCATGTGATTCTTCTGTCCCATAGTCAGATTTGACAGCTATTGCAATCTTCCTCACTAGGGAGCTGGCCTGTTCTAGTCAACTAACCAGGACTCAGAAATTAGCTCTCTGCACACTCTGGATCATGGCAACTGGATTGTGTGCTGGTCTCTTCTCCCTAAGGAAAATGAAATTTTTAATTTGTTGGACAATTAGTTACCAAACACAGCCAGCTGACTTGGATTATAACTGCGCAACACAGTGGAATTACAGCACTTGTGTTCTTATCTGGTCAACATAGCTACAGAGATCAAGAAATGAAACATCTCATGAAAAAGCTAAACTGGACATCAGTTTCAAATTGAAGAATTCAGTCAGATTTTTGCCAGGAACAAGCAGAACAAGCTCATCTTGAATGCGCTTGGTCTTCTTATCTTACAACTGATCTTATTATTAATTGTTCTATGTATATTGTTACCGAGACATATAGAAGCATTATGAAAGTCACTGTAATGGCATCCCTACCATTCAGTCCCTACTTGCTGCTATACTTACAAGAATATTTCGGTCACTGTGTCCTTGTAGAAATGAGGAAGGTATTTTTTTCTTTGTTGCTTTTCGGAAGAGAATTCTCAACAAAGCAGGGCTTACTGATGCCATTAAAATAAAGTTAATGTTACTTTGTTATAGGCTTCTGTTCTCTTGAATCCTTGTTGCTCAGTAAAAGGAATATGAAGGGAGCTAATATTTTCTATGAGAGCAACCAAGATTGTCTGTTTGCTACTTTGTTATCAGAAATGGCCTCTAGCAGTTTTCATTTCAGTGTTCACTCTTAAAGGAAACATCAGGAAGGTGGAGAGGTTTATTTTGGGGAAAAATGCATTTTAACTCGTTATTTTGTTCATACATCCATGTTAAATAGTTATTTAGATTTTCAAAGCAGTAAAGGGACTTTTATTGGTATGCCAGATTTTTTTTCCACTTTTTGTGGCAAGCTACTAAATATAAAAGCCTATTGATAGTGGCTGTGCAATACATAGAGAAAAGATTTCAATGTCCACTGTGTTGAACAATTGTGAGATCTGTTATTAGCATTTGTCACTGAATGTATGTGAAGCTTCCAAGCAAGAAAAAGCAAATGGTTTGCAGCTAGTGACAGAATTTACATTTTACTGTTCTAGTTGGCCGGGAAAAGCCTATGGGAACATCTGCAGCACCCAATCAAGAGAAAAAAGACTTCAGTGAATCTCAGCTCCAACCAGCAAAAGCCCAGAAGCCAGTATCTCAAAGCCCTTTAACTTTTCCACCCTCAAGTAAGCAACAGTTTATGAAGTAGTTGTGATATAGCATTGTGTTATGTCTGCCTTCCATGCATATTTACAGTGACTTATACCAGGAAGGCCAATGAATAGCTTTTCTAGACTATTGACTTATGCATGTATACATGCAACATAAAACACATTACTGGTTATTGTTTTTTAAAAGGGCATTAGAATGTGGTTTATTGATAAGGCAACAATTGGCGCGTAACTGTTGAATAACTTCACATTACTTTTGCTTTTAAAGTAACTAGCCATCTATCGTAAGGAGTATTTCTGTGGAAATCAAGAGCTTGATGTGATGCAGAGCCCAATCCAAAGATCACTGAAAGTAACAGATTATTTCTCATTTATGCTCTCTCTTACAACTACATATTCTGCTTTATGATTCACTGAAGGAAATAGGAAGGTTTTGGTACACTGCATGCTAGCTTTATGCCTGTGTTTTAGCAGGTAGATAAACAATGTTCTGGTCATGCTTCTGGAGTGAAAGTCTACTGGATGTTGGGTTTTTTTTTTTACCAGAATAAAAAGTCACTTTCTTCTTTAGCTATGGAAGTTGCATAACTTGTATAAGACAATGTTTTCCCCAACTCAAAGCATTTTATGGGAGTATTCAGCATCCTAGTAACCAAAGAAGATGTGACTAAGGAACTAAACAAAACAGGTAATAATACATGTCATAAGGAGAGGGGATGATTATGTTTACTTCCTGCCTCTCTTTTATCTCAATGTACCCAATGATGCTGTTTGCACAGCCTGAACAGTATCACATTGCTGTGAAAAGCAGGAGGGATAAATGGAACTACTGAGCTTCACACAGCATATTGAGGAATATCTACATGGTGGAAAAATATCTATTACTTTGAGTAAGCTTTAAAGACAAGGTTATATTAGAGCTTCCACTAAGAGAGACATGCTTAGTCAGCTGAAGGTATTCCCAAAGGCATTCATGTAGCAAATAATTCAGGTGGGTTGCTGATTTGATTTTGAGCTTGGTCCTCAGACTGCTATTTCAAAGTGTACATGAAAAGCCTGGCAATGTGAACAAGACATCAAATATGGCATACTTGTTCATAGGGTATAATGTGAAGTATCAGGAAGGATTTAAAAAAAAATTATTTGAACTCGTGGTTCAATTCAAAGCATAAGTGTGGATTATTATTATTAATTACTATTAATTGTTTCTTCCAATGTTGTTTCCATTCTTAGCTCAAAATACTCACTTTCAGTTTCTAATCTGTCAGAGTTCATGCTGTATCACTGTGTTAGCCTTCCCAAAGTGTTGTGGGTTGTCAGGAATTGGTGAGATATGCTGTATTTGAAACCCATGGCAACAATACACAAGCCATCAAACCTGTTTTCAAAGAATCTGGATGTTTTCAGTGTTGGATACAAATGATCCTTTTATAGAAGCAATGTCTGCTGTGAAATTGGTTACACAGAGACTAAGCACTTTGTAAGAAATATTTCTAACATTCATAAATTTGGGCTCTGCTTATGCAAGATGAGTAGAATTATCAAAGTTACTCTGCCCTTCAAAGGAAATGCTCATTTTTAGTAAGATATATTAACTTAGAATACTTTAAAAGTAACTGACTTTTGATATATAGAGGTGAGCCTTAATTTTTAAACTGATATTCATTAAAATACTCATTTGCTTTTTCACTCCCAGCTAACATTTGAGAAAAAGGGTGGTGTTTGTATTGAGTATACAATCCAGCAGTACACTCAGAATCCAAACTCAGAGCAGATTAACCCTTAGGCTGACCAGGCCATCTTTATATCTGTGTCTGCTAACCGGTAGCTGTGATTTGGTGGTTGTTTTCACAAATAACCATTGCCTTAATAATTAATTAAACTGAAAACTGTGCTGCAGCACTTGGGGCTTCTCCTGTTGCAGCATGAGTTCTCTGTTCCTCAAAAAATTTCTTTCACTGTACAAGGATGATTGTTGGTCTCAGCTTCTATTTAACAGCTCACAGGATGATGTGAGAGTCAGAGACAAATCAGCTAAAATGTTAGCAAGACACCATGTTACAGACTCAAGACCGATCAAATGCACTGCCCAAAGCAGAAGGGAAATACTATATACATAGGTAGAGGACTACAAAGTCTAGGGATAAAGGAGATGAAGCAGAAGACACTAAAACCTCAAAAATGACAAATTGTATCCCTGAGAAATTATTTCTCTACCTACCATGTTCCTTTCCTGTATGTCTGGAATACTGTTAGTTGCTATTAAGATTTAATATATTTTACTTACAATGGAAAAGAGGATTCTAATAAATTCTGATCTCATTTCCATTTGGATTACATTGGAAATGATGATACAAAAAGGTGTAATAAAAATGTGTCAACTTTAGTGTCCAAGCTTCTGCTCTAAAGATTAGTTTTCTGATGGTTCATTTCAAAAGTGTCACTCAGTCATAACGATCCTATCTCAGAAGATCATTTCTTTTTGCTTTAGATTTAGGATAAGTAAATTAAAAATAAAGTTGTTTTTATGAAACTGCATGAAGAGCTGTGACTTCACCATTCTCATGCAGACCTATCAGAATGAATTTTTGTCACAATAGATTTACAGCATGGTGTCATGAAGTGTGTAACCTTCCATGACTAAGGCAGGATACCCATCAAATCCTCTTTTCAGTCTGGAATATTTTTATCCTGTAGCAAATCAATGCCACTGATTTCCATTTGTTAGAAGAGCTAGTAAATTATGAGGCAAAAAGCATTCCAAGCCTGTGAATTGTTTGTGCATTAAAATTTTTTCCAGGAGGTAATAGTCTGAAGTTACAGTAGCTGCTTAGGGTAGCAATAGCCCAGGTATGGAATTCTTGTGCTAAGTCTATGGAGCAGCTTGGGATTCCTTGTGCTTCTTGAACACCTGTGCATTTCATGAAAATCTTAATCTCTGTGTAAGAAAGATGTGGGTTTAGATAGCTGGAAGGACCTCTTGCTTTCAGAGTTATAGGTGAGAAGCTCGGTAACTAACGTTACAGAATGTTATATAGTCAAGTTCTCAAAAATATTTGTTATACCAAGCAACTATTTTGCTATAGTTCTTTTAGTCACTGCAAGACAAGTGTAATTAAGTTTTCAGTCAGGTAAATACAAGATATTTGCCTTTTAGCTTTATTTTTAGTATGTGAATTTTCTTATTTTCTTTCAGAATAACTTGTTCTCAATCATGATGAAAAATCTAATAAACCCAGCAATTTTTATGACACTATTGCCTATTTCTAAATTACTGTAACCAGATAATTCCAAATTCTTACTACTACTACTGTTAAAAGCACTGTTGTAAAAGCCATACTATTGCAGTTCTGAATTTCTTAAAAGTTGATTAACCAAATTTTAGAATCTTTACCAAGGCTGAAATTTCTGCAGAATCCAGAATTCAGTCCTTTCTTGTTATGTTACTGGGTACTGGATCCTAATTCCTTTGCGATTCCCTATGCAGTTA